TGTACAAAAGCTGCCGCTTCGGTGGTTGGAACGACTAGGCCATCCCGTCGACGTCAGCCTCGCCGTAGCTTTGATCGTCCTGACACGACCTACGTCACGATTGCGTCGGATGTCACGTGCTCTAAGATAGGCCTTCTCCGAGCGCTTGGTAGAGTGGGCTGTTTATAACAAAAAATACAGCCACCAGGCTCAGAATACATACGTGTGATTGTCATTTACGGACATTGCGGATCATATTCAGCCTATTTTTGAACACGACGGATATATATCAAATTTCGTTGAAGTATCCCTTTAAGCAATTCAACCATGACGTTTTGCATTGCCTAATGTCACAACTCAGACAGTGTTTCTTGGTCTAAACATATGTTTCCGCATCGTCATTCGCTGATCTGCCTCCGTAAATTGCGGTGAATGGTCCTCCGTGTGTTGTGCCGGAAAGTAGACGCGCGGGCTTTTTTTTTTTTTAGAGTGAAGCTTGTGGGTTTCTTTATGGAGGTCCCTCTGCTAATAATCGCCGCCCGATCGGTGTGCGCTCCGCCCGTCACCCAGGGAGTTACACACTGCAACGAGAAAACAGCGAATGGGTTTACTGCACCTCTCGGTTGCCCGTCGTCGAGAACCGGCAGTCCAGGCACGCCGACCCTTGTTGTCGCCCGTCGATCAGAACTTACAGTCGCAGTTCGTGTCCAGGCATGCGGATCGCCTTTCCCACGCCAGCGCTGCGTAGGCTGGCTGTCCCGGGCTATCAATGCCCAAGTCTCGCTGCGAAACCACCTTGGGATTGTTATAGCCCAGGTCATATGGCCAGGGTTCGCCGTTTCCACCGGTCTTGCTCCAGACCTCGCTGGTGGACCGCTCCGGGGTTCGTCATGGGCCAGGCCAGGCAGCCCGGCTCCGGCGTTCTTGTCTAGCTACCAGCCTCGCTCAGCTCGCACTGTCTCGCGCCAGCTCGTGTCTTCTCTGCCGACCGCCTGTCACGTGCCCTCTGTATTTCACCCTCGCCCCGCACAAGCTTCCGGAAAAATACTCCTCCCATCACCGGAGATGACCTCGGTGTGTTCGATCTTCGACTGATTGTTGAATAGAAAAATCGGCGGCGCATCGTTATGATTTATACAGGATGTCACAAAAAAAATTACAGGGTTTTTTTCGGCGCAAAAATAAACTAGGCATCGCCGAACGCTCATTCTTCGCGCAAAGCTAGCGCTAGATGTCACAACCAGATGCCAAAGTTTCAGCCCGGTCTGATAACTTCATCAAAAGTTATAAGTAATTTTCTGAAACTTTCAATGGGAAAATAGAGCCCATTTTTGCACGTCTTCGGTTTCTGGTGTCATAGAGGCCCATGTATCCGAAAACTCCGTAGGCCGTCATTTTCCCATTGAAATTATCAGAAAAGCACTTATAACTTTTGATTAAGTTATCGGATCGGGCTGAAACTTTGGCATCTGGTTGTGACCTCTAGCGCTACCTTTAGACGGATAATGAGCGTTCCGCGATGCCTAGTTTATTTTTGCGTTAAAAAGACCCTGTAAATTTTCCTCTGTGACACCTTGCACATTTTGAGGATGCTTGGGGTCCGCGGAGTGACTCATCGTCATGTTTAGGCAATCTCAGAATCCTCTCCTGGGCACTTTTAAGTATGAAACGAATAATGGTGAACGCGCAGCCTATCCGTCTTCCACGGGAGAATACTAACGCCGATGCAAGACACGCCCGCTTGCTCGTTCCTTTTTGTTGTGCGAATAGCTTCGGGGGAGTAGGCTAAGCATTCACGAATATACACAAGATCTCATTGGAGAGTCGACTTAGCAAGGATACAATTATCATGTGGTACGGCTCCTGCACATACACCCATGCAGCTTCTCTCCAATATGCTCGTGATGGTATCCTCCAAATTAATCAAGGGTAGTGTGAGATAGTGCCCACCGATTATCAGCGGGTAAACAAATATGGGATAATTTGATTGATTGACCGTACAAGATATTATTGTTGCTTCGATAAATCTGGTAAATTATATTGAGTCCTACTCTGTACTGCCCGCTTGTGCCAGATCAAATAAAAGTTATGTTGAACTTTTAAAACAGAGTTCAGGTAGCATAAATGTTTTACCGAAAGGCTTCACTTAATATATATTATTGTGAGGACATTGTATTTTTCTTGTGTTGCGACCATTGCTGACTGTCGGTGCGATTAAAAGCTTTGCCGTAGTCCGCTTTCCATGATTGTCCAAGAGGTCACTGTTGCTTCTTTAGTAGGTATAAATCTCCTTTCATAGACGGAAATAAGAAAAAAAAGAGTAAGGTTAAACAACGAAGTTTGACGGCGCTAGTATAAAAAGACACCCACCCTCGAACTTGTCGTTCGTAAGTGATATTGTTGATTGCAACTTCTCATGTAGAAACTGTAACAAGGTGTCACCAGGCATTTTGATAAAAATATATTTGGTATCAATTTGGTCTTAATGTTTAATGAATAGGACGCCACATTTGGTGTGCACAAAGTAAAAAGAATTTGAAAGTTTAACAGCTGATGGGAGGGCAGCCACTGCATTGGAACCTGCGTCAGAGCTGTGCCAGTGAAGTGTCTGCGAGAATGGTTTACTCTAAACGAGAACATACGCTACTCGAATATTACTATTAATGTCACATATTAACGCAAATGCAACAAATTTTTAACCTTTTCCAGCTGCTGCCATTTTGCAGAGACGGAAACAATGAGAGTCGCTTTTGCACGTCTGTTATGCCTCGCCAGTGAGTATGTGATTGTCAGTTAGATCGCACGGAACCCTTACTGCTATGAGGAGCGCAAGATTGTCTGGTTCTTCCACAGGGCTTCCGATGATGTGAGAACGCCCAGCTCTTATTCGCTGATTGAAAAACAAAAATAGTGGGTAGACCTTAATGCATCAGGAGTTCAGGTCTACCAACTATCCTTACACTCAAAGCCAATCAAGACTCGGGGTCATTCTGACGTCACCGCCACTCCTGCCAAAGGAGCAGACAACTTGCTTTACAAATTACCTAGAAAAAAATTGGCTTGCATAATACTAATTTGTTTTGCCATAACTCGGCAAATGGAAAAGGCTAGGGTATTTCATCACCTCTACAGTAAAACGTGCAATCCATTCTAAACAACAGTTATGATGTATTTTCAATTAACAAGAAAATAAACGCAGTGAATATATTTTTGTGTGTTTTAGAAAATAATTTATGCATTATCATTTATATAAGTGTGAATGCGCGATTGTCGACTGTTCCTGGAAAGACTCAAGATCACTTACTTGCTGCGCCTCGCTAGAGTGGCGAGATGCTTTGGTATAGGGGATGTGACGACCGTTCGGCCGCGGCCACCATTTTGCTTCCCGCGGTGTGTTGGTTTCGTATAGGGAGTATTCACTGGCGGCCATATCCGCGTGCGCTGCTGCTGAGCGCGTGCTGACGGCGAGCTTCCGCAGTCCTTTGGGAGCGTGTTTTTAGCACCATCAAGGTTGTCGGTCTTAGCAGGCTATTAATGTGAGCTCGTTCTGAGCATGCGCTCTAAACATCACCCTCAAATATGGCGTCCAGTGAATACCTCCTATACATGAGACTAGAGTGACTCTACATGAGAGCAGCGGATCACCTCAGCCCCGCGAAAATGTCTAATTAATTTGTACTCGTGTCCGGATATAATATTCCAAGAGGAGGCTCTCTCGGCTGGGAAGGCATCAAATTATCGCAAAGGCCGTTATCTCTATCACTTTAAAAAAAAAAAAGCCCGTGCGTCTACTCTCTCACACAGCACTCGGAGAGCCAATCACTGCAGCTCATGGAGGAAGCTCAGCGAATCACGATGCCGAAGCATATGCTTAGAACAAAAAAAAACAAACAAAAAACGCAGTTCGATTTGTGACATTAAGCAATGCAAAACGTCACGCTTGCATTGCTTAATGTAACAACTCAGACTGCGTCTTTTTTCTTCCTAAACATATGTTTCGGCATCGTCATTCGCTGATCTGCTCCGTAAGTTGCGGTGATTGGCTCTCCGTGTGTCGTGCGGAAAAGTAGACGCACGGGTTTTTGTTAGAGTGTATAATGTTTTCGGCATTATCATTAGATGCAGGGCCAAACACAAACGCATCGTTGATGGCACACGTTACGTTACACGTTCTTAATGTTACTCCCGCGCACTTTACAAGTTGTACCGTTGAATAATGACGTAAAAGGCTCATAAACGGCTGCGCATAAGTGGGACGCAAGATGTCGGTTCGGCTAGCAGTCGACAGAGTTGTCCTCACTCTGTGAGGGCCACCAGCACAGCAACTTTGAGGAATTCTTGCCGCTGCGTGCATGCAGCGTCATGAAGCAGCGGGTCGGCGGCTTATACTTTCGCGAGCCAAATATGGCAAGCAGTGAGAGGTGCGGAGGTCATCCCGGATGCAGCCTCATGACCCTCACAGTACGGAGCGGCCGACGATCCAGTGGTCACCTTCATACCGATCGTGACTGTGAATTTACTTTAATTTTACATATTGCTCTCACATTTCATTTTGATACCCCTTAGGTTGCTCAATCGGCGCCCGGCTGACGACCTTATTGCAAACATGTTTTTTCGTTTCTATTTTACTCTCTAGTCCGCTTGCCAACCAAGAACTTTGGCGACCAAAAATCAACATCTGATCGAAAAAAAAGCTGTCGCTTACACTTGCTCAAGGCTACAAGGCACATTTGTGAGCCGATATAAAGTATCACGAATATATAAACAGTTTCTTCAAAGTATCTAATCTTGTTACACAAACATGGAACACTTTAGCAAGGATATACTGTTGTTTGACCTTCCTTTTAAGTCAGTTGATTTCGCTGAAAGCGAATTTTGAGTAGCAGGTGACAGCAGGCTCCTAAATCCGACTTACCCGACGCCTTTACGTGCGTCGTTTCAATGCTTGCATTGGATCACCGCAGCCGTAGCTTCCCCATTTTGGAAATTTATCGTGACCGGGCATATGAAAACATTTCTATATGTGTGTTGTGCATATATCTCATTTCAGCAACAATGTCAGCTATAAAGTGTAAATAAAAAAAAAATACTGCACTGGTTGCTCATCATATATATCAATTTTGTTTAGCCTGTCTACAGATAATTGTTGCGGAATCGTATTCTGACCAGCGGGATCACGAGGAAGCAGAAGATTTCGTCCCATCATTGGCATACGCAGGTAACTATTGCTCAAATAACTATACTTGGCCGTCTGAGATTAAGGCATATTTCTACGCGATATAGAAATCTAGAAGCAAAAAGAAATAAACAAACAAAAAAACTTCGGCTGATGCAGTTTTATTACCAAGGAGAAAATATAGAGTAGTTAAAGAGATCCAGAATTCACAATCTGGTCTACAAATTGCTCAGAGTCCGAGACATAGCATGCGCAGATATTGTTGGCCTAACAAGCTTCACAGAAATGTTGGTGGGCAGCCCCATGGATATTCATCTGTTTTTCGCTAAATTTATGTTTACATGAATAGGACAACCGAGTAATTCTTTGGTATAGTAATTATAGAATGCAGGCATTAAATATCCAGTCAATTTATAATACAGGATGAAAAAAGGGAGTTGTAATCACTGAATGAAGTTATTTTCGAGGAATATTCCACAATTCATCATAGGTGGAACTGCTCGGATTCGACTACATTACACGTAAATATTAATCTTAACAGAAAAATTCTGAAATTTATTGTCATGATAATTTATCAAAATGTTAAATTATGATGAAGTTCACGTAAACAATCGACTATAATCACTAAGATCCCCCCAAAAAAAGAACGCAGTGTATGGTTTATTGTGTTCCCGGTTCCTGGTTCATGATTCGTTCTTCGGCACGACTAATACAGCGGTTCTCAACCACTGATGTTCGAAGCGCAACACAGGGTAGGCCGAAGTGACGGGGGACCCTAAAAGGAGGAGGGCGTTGCACAGTTACAATAACCAAAAAGTAACGATTGAAAAAAACAAAAAAACTAAGAGCGTACAAATAACGTTTTGAAGCTATGAATCGGATAATAATCAACCCTACTCACTAGGTGCACATGGCTTCGCCTATTTAACTTTGTAAAATTGCGATTATCAACGAACAAACAAAATGTAACTTAGCTGACTTACGTTGAGGGCTTCGGGGACCCCGATTGGTTCACGGACCCCAATTTAAGAACGACCGGTCTAAAGCATATATCTTAGTGGTTAGGGAGCAATAACGAGCTGCTCGGGATTCGCCACGCCATTTCTTTCTTATGCTGCCAGTCAATATAGCTGAAGTAAAGAACTCATCGTTCCCTCCCGATTCATGGGACTGCATGTAGCACCTTCACGCTGCCACGCAACTGTCAAATAATAGGCACCAGCTTGTAGTATATTTATTAATTGAACATTATAAACTACCAAAACAATGCACTTATAGTAATCTTTGATATGATATACAATAGCCTCATGGGAAGTACGCCAGTAATTTGAATATATTATATTTATATGAGTACTAGTCACCGCATTCATATGAGTATTTTTACCTTATTTCGTAAACCTAAATTCTAAACACTCTATCTGGTCGACACTTCTTTATTAACTGTTAACTGCCATTCGCAATCCTTCGGCATAATACAAAACACAGAGATATCCCGCCTATATCTGAAAAAGAAATGTTTCTTGTATTACTGATCAATAAGAAACTGTTCTGTAGTATGCCACTCAACTGTAGAATAAGAGCACCTTCTAATACTACATTTTACTTCAGATCCAGACACAGACAGAAATGTGGTAAGTCACTGAATATGTCGACCAAACTGAGCGGTAAAAAAGAAGGGATTCTTTAAGTCTTTACCACTCGATCACTTTGCAATGGTGGGTAAATCCCAATTTGTAAATAAGTAAGGACAAGTTCAAACGTTACACGGTAATTTCTTTCGAGGACTCATCATTTATCCGTCCTGGGCAAGTTATTAGGTATTTATTTTTTACTATTCGAGATGCTTTTGTTAGACAAACAGAGTGATGTGGATTACTTGTGCTTCATAACTTAGTAGATAAAATAAACCTCTCAATATAAAAGGAACGTATCTGTGATTTATTAAAAATGACGTATATTAATTCAATTTAAACAATATCCGAAGCTGTAAAAATACGCTTCTTAGCTTTCTGCATATGTTACATATAAAAAAAAGCACCTCGATAAACTTCAAATTATGTCTGGGAATTCACCGTAGAAAATAGCGAAAAACGGACGAGGACGAAGGGGAAACAGACGGGACGAGCGCTGATCAGTCAGCCCTTGTCCCGTGTCTTTCTTCTTCGTCCTCGGCTTTTTTCGCTCTGTTTCCTGCGATGAATTCCCACCAACTTGCCCAACTATCCCTTCTTCTATGTGTAGCACTCATCGTATATTAAAGTGAGTATGTAATGGACATCGATAAAAGAAACTAATTACACATTACAAATAGAGAGGAAAACAAATATTGGACTGGTTTTCGCACCAAAATCTCGGCGAGTTTGAAAATAGATCACCCAGCAGTTAAAGAAAAATCATCACAATAGCTGAATTAGGCTGACAAAACCAGGGAGCTTGGTTTTGTCGGCGCTAAATGTAACATAACGAGATAACACGACTGTGTTCGTGTGACGTTATAGTTATGAAATACCACTTGACATCATGCCCTCACCAACAACGTCACGTCAGGTCCCATGTCACAGTGTGACATGAAACGTCACGTGCCACACCGAGGCATGTGACGTTTTAATTACGTCAGTGTGTCACGCGACGTCATAATAAGGTCGTGGTCTAACGTGACTTCACAGAGTCACGTAGCCTCATAACGTCATCATGACATCCTGGCGTCACATGATATTGTCACGTGACAACATGATGACACAGAATGCCACGCTGTCACGTGATGTCACAGTTCTTCGTGACGGTTTTCTCGTGGAATTTGGCTTATAAAAGCATTTTGTGTTCATATATGCAAGCGGAGTGGTACACCTTTGTATCGTATTCCTTTAGTGATCGCAAGTTATTTTCAATGAAATTTTCACGAATGCTACTCCTCTCTGTGCACCGATAACTGATCACGTGAATACAAGACCTATAACGTTCTCGAGAGGGACAGCCGCATTTTTCTTGTACTGGTGTTCAGAGCTATATCCTCATTCACACTCCAGGATTATTTTTGGAAGCCACGTGCATTCTCTTTTTGTAATCTTTTTAGTCGCAGTTGATTTCCAGTAAAGGATACCCTGTCGAAGAATACGAGGTGTCCACCACTGATGGATATGTTCTGGGAATTCAACGCATCCCACGAGGACGAAACGAGAGTGGTCGCCCAAGTGAGCGCCGCAAAACGCCCGTCTTTCTTCAACACGGACTGTTGGCGTCGTCCACTGATTATGTTCTCAATTTTCCCGAACAAAGTTTGGGTAATTACCTTTTCAATTTATCGCGAAGGGAACTTGTAAGATATGGCGGAGTAAAACTGACCAGGCAACGATGGATCTTGACCGGTCTTCTAGACCTGCAGAACTGGGCCACCGGGCGCCTAAATATTTAGCGACATTTCTGGGTATCATTCTCTTGGTAGGTAAAAAAATGACGGGAGCTTAAAATGGACAAGTCGGGACCAAATTTGATGGCGTTCTTGTTTTGAAATAGATTATTAGAACATTGAGCATTTAGGACGTAAAGAAAAAAAGGAACCACACACACACAACACTTTTAGTTCCTGAGTCTGGGGTGTTCAAGATGTTGAAAGTTTAGTAGCTCTCCTACATGCTATTTGTTATTAATATAATTATTTATGTATTGTTTTTGTTGCGCAATGCAGCAAATTCATATCCGATGCCTTCTTATAATAATATTGCGGAGTGCCCATGAACTGGTGTTACTGCTCAACTGCAGCTACATATGAGCAACTTCTTATGTAATCATTTACGGCAGATGCACACGAGTGATCGTTTGAAAGAATTTTGATGTGTGAGTTACTTATTAATTTTTTTATTTAGTCTTATGATCGGGAGGCGTTACAGGGAGGAGTGGTGGGAAACATCTGAAGAACATGTAGAGCAAATAACAGTTATGATGACAGGTGATGAAACACGCCAGACTTGAATGTAATGTGGCCGCTGATGGAGACGATGAAAGCATAAAGGTAGTTCCAGTCCACGCTTGCTTTGGGGACAAAGGAGCCGAGGTACAGGCTAGTTCTACAACTGGGTACGCCAACTTTCAATCGGTGATCGAAGCGAGATGACACACTTAAGGGGGCTGTAAAAAGTGACTGATAAAAGCTGTTGTTCTTGTAATATCTTTTATAAAAGGCAGATTCTAGAGATGCGACGCCGAATAGAGAGATCGGGCAGATGTAATGTTTGTTTCATTTGAGAGGCGCCAGCTAGACGGAAATAGTCAAACGGGCAGGTCGATTCTAGACAGATTCCAGGTTTAAAACGAGCGAGTTCATATGGGGATCCCATAGAGATGAGGCATACTCAATTTTGGAGCGCACAAGTGAATTTTATGATAAGAGTTTTAATAAAATCAGAGCGAGGAAGAAATTACGGCGAAGGAAACCGGGCCTGTGGTTAGCATTATTAGCAATGTATTCAACATATATATGCGATGAAAGGGAATGTGAACACCAAGATATCTATAAGCAGAAATTGTTGACAACCGGGGACAATTAAGGAGATAAGGGGTCGGATTGGATTGATTAGTTGATTTTATGATTCTTAATACATTGCATTTGTTAACATTGGGTTTCATAAGCCATGTGTCATGCCACACAGAGATACTGCTAAGATCGGCTCGACGAATAGATTCCTCGGGGAAGTTAGATATTTCTCGATATAAAACACAATCATCAGCAAAAAATTTGATAGATGAGAAAATAGAGTCAGGAAGGTTATTAATATAGATGAGGAAAAGGAGGGCTCCTAGGGCGAATCCTTCAGGAAAGCCTTATGACAAAGAGGGAAGTTGAGATTCATGATCCTTAGTTGATACATACTGGGTGCGACCGTGAGAAATCCAATCAATCTATCCTAAACTATTGTTATCGAGGTTGAGTTTGCCGAGTTCGTAAAGTAGTAGTCGATGCAGAACTGTATCAAAGGTTTTAGCGAAGTCAAAAAAAAAAAGAAAAAAGAAGCAATCAATGGCAGATGGGCGGTACAACACAGAAACGAAGTCATTAGTAAAAACAAGTAGCTGAGTTCCACAGGAGTAATGTTTACGAAAATCGTGCTGACAGGTTGTAAAGAATGAATTAGACTGAAGAAAACGAACGAGACTAGAGTGTATTACATTGTGACGTTGCTAGCCGTCACAGCACCTGAGTGTGTACGTGTTACAGAGGGTCGTTTCAAATTAGGAGACCTTGTGTATATGAACAAGTTTTACTTTGAGAATTAAAATAAAGTTCAGAAATAGGGAAGAAAACGTAGGAAAGATAAGAAAGCAAACTGAAATAAATGAAGAAAAAAGAAACCTGCACGAACCAAGAGTAAATGTCGAAATCCGGAGATATCCAGAGTTCAACGGTAGGTGGCGCAGTCAGTGATCGTCTGCATCACTCACAGTCAGCCGTCTTCCTTCTGTCTCTGCTCGTCGTGGGGAAGAATGAAGATCAACGTCAATCGGGACCCCTTCGCCAAGTCCCGGGGTCGACGACGGCGTCTGTTCAGACTTCTGAAGGTCGGCTTCCACCGCCTGCCCAACCGGCCTTTTTCCGCTTTCCTCTTCTTCCTTCTCTTCCCCCACCGGCGCACCATTCTCGCGCACCACACACGTTCAATTTAAAAAAAAAATCCTCCTGGACAATTTTAAAAATTGTATTTACTGTTCCAGAAACAAGAATCCTCCTTGTACTTTCAACTAACCGCCTAAATATTCAATTAAGTTCTGTACGAAACCAACATTCACATTCAGAATTCAACACTATCTTGCGCCCTAAAACAACCACAGAAATATCTGTCAGTATAAGAGAACTCTGTTCACACTGGTCCCCGACTGCGAAGGGCATACGAATGGGACATTCCAAAAATTTTTGGGGTTGCCATGGGCAACTCTTAAGTGTTCACTCCCTTGTATAATGCCCCTTGGGCCTTCAAGGAATAATAAATAATGATGATGATACGTTCAACCGAAGACATTGAGGGCATTGTCTGCTGCACATTTGACGCCATTCTCCCGGTCACCTCTAGCTCTTCAAAAATACCCGGTACGATCATCTCTCTATTGGGGTACCCCACCGTGATTCCTTCGTTTCCGGCAGGTACCCGTGGGGCCAAATTGTGAGTTAAGGATGAAAAGGACTATTCTTCGTCTTGAGAGCGTTTGTGGTGGTTGTATGCTAACTCCGGGGTTCGCTCTTCGCCTGCCGTCGGTTTTCTCATCCTGTTCACGTGGAGCACTTTCTGCTCACCAGTACGGGCGTTCTTGACACGATACGTAAGATCAGATAGCTTTTTAATCACGTGGTGCGGGCCTTCCCTCTTAGGAAATAGCTTCTTTGATATTTCTAGTTTAGCGGCCTTTACTTTAATGTACACGAGATCGCCTATGTTGTGAGTTGCTCTTTGCGAAATTCAATTGTACAGTTCTTTTCGCTGTTCAGCTGATTCGGCTAGTTTCTCTCGTGCTGTTTCATGAGCCATTAAAAGTCTGTGACGTAGTTCATGGCAATAATTCTGAAGTTTATCGTAATTGACAGGTGGTGGCTTACATAAGATATCCGGCAAATCAGCGTTACGTCCGAAAAGTAAGTAGAAAGGCGTCTCATGTGTACTTTCATGTTTGGCTGTGTTGTATGAAAACATACAATATAGAATACGCTGGCCCCAGTCTCTCTGGTCAGCACGCACATAGAGGGATAGAATTGAGACCAAGGTTTGGTTAAGTCGCTCTACTGCTTCGTTGCACTGGGGATGATATGCTGTTGTTTATAGCTTCAGTATCCTTAGCAATGTGCATATATCCTGGAACAATCTTGATGTAAAATTAGGGCCTTAATCTGTCAAGATTTGCCGAGGCACGCCATGGCGAAGGATCATGAGTTCCACAAACATTTTAGCAACAGTTTCGGCTTTCTGGTCTGACATGGCGACGACTTCTGCATATATCGTTAAATGGTCTACAAACACTAGAAGATAACGATTTCCTCCCGTCGCAGTTGGAAATGGTACCACAATATCCATTCCTGCCCCTTGAAATAGTTGTGCAACCTCTTCGAATACTTGCAAAGGTGCTCGCCTTCTGTTGTGGGATGCTTTGTGACATATGCACGACACACACTGGGCACAGTAGTTCTGTATCTTCTTTTGCATTCCGTGCCAGAAGTACTTTTCTCAAACCCTTTCACTTGTTTTGCCCGTCATTCGGTGTCCAGAGTAAAGTTTATCATGACATAGTCGTATCACGTAATTTTAAAGCGATTTGGGGACAACAACTCGGTTATTGAAAAGACGATCTTGTCTCAACGTAGTATGATCTCTCCGACAAAGAAGACCTCGAGAGCCGATAACATAGCATCCGGATTTCTTATGAGATTACTCTTCGCACATGGAGATGAGCGTGATTAACTTTCGATCATCTCGTTGTGCAGAGATAAAACCATCAGCATCACATCCTGGTTCATATTGAATAACTTCTCTAACTTCTTCTCCGCCCGGTTGCGATAGCGTTCTGATTTATTTTTCCCGCCCGATGTTGCACTTCAAAGTTGTATTCTTGCAGCAGTAAGTTCCAGCGTGATAAACGAGAACTGGGGTCACGGGCGTTCATCAGCCATTTAAGTGCACGACAGTCGGTTAACACCTTGAAATTTCTTCCGTACAGGTAACACCGGAACTGCTTGACTACCCAGACTACCGCCAAGCATTCTTGTTTCGTTGCTGCATATTTTTGTTCGGCCGGATTTAATTTCCTGCACGCATGTGCAATGGGGTGCTCGTTTCTTCCGCACTCTTGCCCCAACACGGCTCCCGGTGCATTCTGAGAAGCGTCCGTTATCAGAATAAATGGTTTAGAAAAGTCCGGGAACCTCAACAAAGGCGCCTGCGTGAATTCATGCATCAGAACATCAAAAACCGCCTCAGCTTCAGTGCTCCAGCTGAAAGTGACCTTTGACGTAAGCGCAGTCAAATGTTTGGCGTTTTCGGCAAACTCTGGTATGTGACGCCTGTAATATCCAATAAGACCAAGAAATTGGCGAAGTTCTTTGACTGTTGTGGTCTGGGAAATTCATTAACACAACGTGTTTTTTTCTGGATCTGGTCGGACCCCGTTCTTTGACAAAATATGTCCGAAGTACTTCACTTCTTGTTTAAGAAATTGACATTTTGAGGGTTTCAGCTTTAGTCCTGCCGTTTGTAGTCTCCTCAGGACGGTCTCGATGTCTATAAGATGTTGGTCCAAGCTATGG